ACTAAGGGCTGGGAAGACTGGGATGTTCAGTGACTTGGGTTCTATCTTGTTGCTCTGCTATCTTCAAGTTTCCTGGTCCTTCAATCTTGAGGACCTTGGAGAAACAGATACAAACAAAAGACAGACTTGGAGAAGCTAGAGAAGAAAATGCTTTCCTCTGTGAGGTGCTTTTCTAAGGTTCACCTGCTTGGAGTTTAACAGTTCCATCTTGCTTCCACTAGAAGGCAGCACGTACACATGCTGAAGCACATCCTTTTTAAAAACCTAAAGCACCTGAACTACCAAGTGATTTAAGGACCCTGGACTGCAGAACCCAAGACTAATCCCTCCCTAGGCATTTGACATGCTGCTAGACGGAAATCACTACTCTCCAGGAGGAATCTGACAGACCACATCTTGACTTACTGTTCTAAAGTAACACTTTTATTAGTTTTAAAACAAAACTATGGGGAGAGGCAAGCTTTAACTTTTACACATTTGTTCTGAACATGGAGTATTTCAACACCAATCTTAGCAGATTGATCAGGAAAAAGTATTTTTTAATATTTTATTATTTTTACTTTCTGTGTATGCGTGTATTGCCTGCATGTAGGTAAGTGCACCCATGTCATACAATGCCTGCTGAGGAAAGAAGAGGCTGTCAGATCCCCTGGAACTAGAGTTACAGACAGTTGTTAGCTGCCATGTGGGTGCTGGGATTCAAACCCCGGTCTTCTGTAAGAACAGTCAGTGTTCTTAACTGCTGAGCCATCTCTCCAGCCCAGGATAAAGTCTTTTTTTAAAAGATGAAAACTTTTCCATATTGTAAGTTCTTCTAAGTAGCCAAAGAAAAAGAGGTCTTTCAGTATTTGTCCTATATACACTGTGTTTCCTGGCTCAAAATTTAAAAAAAAAATTTTTTTAAGGAGGCATTCTTGAAAATGCCCTGAGCCTCTCCTAATAAAAAATTAACTGTTTTAATTTAATATTTAAAGTAAGAAAGCAGGGGTTGGAGAGATGGTTCAGTGGTTAAGAGCACTGGTTACTCTTGCAGAGTACCTAGGTGCAGTTCCCAGCAGCTAACAACCATCCATAACTCCAGTTTCAGGGGATTTGGTGCCATCTTCTGGCCTCCATAGGCATTTCATGACGTGGATGCACTTACGTACATGCAATCAAAACACATAAAATAAAATAAATAAATTTTTGTTAAAAAGTAAGAAAGTCAATTCAATTTTCACCTGGAATCTGTTGAGAGTGAGCTCATTTTACAATTTCTAAGCATATTTGCATTCATGGGCCCAAAGATTTCATTTTGGTTTGAGAATGCAGCTTATCTAATGTTAGGGTTTTGGGGCCCAAATCTACTTCCAGAACAACAGGGAGTTTCTTCTGCTGTGCTCAGGACTGGGGAAGGCAGGAATGAGGGCAGCCTTTTCTAAAGTAGAAACAACTTCTTCCAACTCCTACATAGCATGCTTAAGGTAAAATTGTATCTCTGTGTAACAGCATAAACATACTGCATCACAGTAGAGGGCACTGTGGCAACCTTTTCCATCACACAGAGCACAGCCATGAGTCATCAGCTGGTCCCAGAACCAAGCTCTTATAGCGTAACTGTGTCAGGCTGGTTCTCTGAGAAGAAAGCTCTGGATGTGAACTCAGAAAACATGGCTTTTATTAGAGGAAAGTTGTAAGAGGAACAGAAGAAGGAACCAGGTGAGGGTGAGGAAGGTTTCAGACGCTGAAGAACTGATTGGGGAAGAACAGAGCCAGGTGAAGTGGGTTGTGTGGAAGCACCCTGAGTCCTGGGCAGTGTGGGTGATCTGCAGCACCCAAGAGGAGGCCGTGGGAAAGGAGCTCCAGGCATCCTAGAAATGGGTCCTCCCTAGGGTGGAAATAGCCACACAAAGGTGGCCTCAGGGCAGTGGTCTCCTGTAGACTGGAGTGTGAAAGGCGCAGGCTTCCAGCACAGCACCGGGACTGAAACCTGCTGGAGTGGGAGAACCAGGAGGCCTTCTCCTGAACCTGCCACTGGAAGGCCTCACTTCAACATCCTAGCTCTCAAACACTGGGCAAAACACAGTCTCTCAATTCAGCGTCAGGGGTGAGCAGGCCTTGTCTTTTCCAGGGGAAGGACTGTCCCCTCCCTGCTGTTTGACCAGCCTCTTCTCTAGACACCTGCAGCAGCCTCCAGCTGCCCAGCTCCTCCTGCCCAGCTCTGTCCTAGCAGAGATATTTCCAAAATGGAAATCTGAAAATACTCCACCCTTTCCTTCATTCAGGGCAGGTTGTTATAAGAGTGATTAGCAGTTGAGCATATGGAGCTAGGACCAAATGTGGAGGACTGGAGGCAAGGGTACAGTGGGTACAAGAAAAAGAAAGTTTGGCTGGATGAAGATGGTTGGCGATACACTGAAAAGAAAGAACTTAGAAGAGCTGTCAAGGAAGGCTAGATGCTGCTTCATCAGCCAGCAACTGTCCAAGTTGTTTTGCCGGCAACTCAGCACCCACCCAATGCATTTTCCCGCCTGAGGCATACTCTACAATGACTGTAGAAAACGAACTTTTCAAATTGTTCACTTCATTTCTCTTAGGCCTGGCCACCTGGCAGATCTGTTCGATGAAAATTAAAGTGGACATTTCTGAGGGCTTCATTCCTGAATAAAGGGGAGGACCCTGAAAGCCTTTGCCTTCTGCTACTCTTTAAAGAAAAGTTGAGAGATACATTAGTATTCTTTCTACACCTTCTTCCACTATATTCCCTGAGCCTTAGGTGTAAATGTTCCACTGCAGATGTGTCACTTAGGGTTGGGCATCTCACAGACACTTATTTTCTGTGTGTGACCAGTTGTACAACTCTGTAATAGTCTCTGTCTGTTGCAAAAGAAGCTTCTTTGATGAGTGGTGACTGGGATACTTGTCTGTAAATATAAGGATCCATATTTAGCATATAGTAAGAAATTACATTTGTAATGGTGCAGAAGACCCATGTAAACTCAGACAAACGCCCAGCACAGAACTGTGGAAATGGACAGCAGGCCCCAATCTTAAAGAACTACTGGGCAGCTGATTACTGCTGGGTGACTGATTGCTTTAAGGGAGTGACTCTAGATAGGCTGACTAGACCCCAGTGGATGAGCTTGCACTGAGGGACATCTGGGGACACTAACGACTTGATAGACCTTAACATAAATGACAGAATCCATGAAATTCAGTGGCGGGGGGGGGTATGGGAGGTGCCAATGGGGAAAAGGGTATAAAGATGATTAAGATGTTGTGTATGAAATACACAAGAATTCAATAAAAAGTATGCAAAAAAATTCACATGGGAAGCTTCAGAAAAAAAATGTTACGAGCATCTCCTTTTCTTTGGCCAGAGCAGCCAACTTGGAAGTTGTTCTGAAGCTCGAGGTATACATGAGGACAGAGCAAAGTCTTCCTCATTACCTACCTATTCCTCCCTTCCTGAGATATGCATCCAAGCCTTGAAAAGAATCTCTCCTGCACACTGAATTTCCCTGGTGTCCAAGGTTCTCAGCCCTCCCTTTTAGAAATGACTGATTGTGCGTATGTGTAAATGTTAGTAAGCTATGCTACAACTTTAAAAAGAATCAGCAGTGTCACAGGGTAGCTAAATCCAGGTTATCTAGTAAGCCCTGCTGGGCAACTGAGATGGTGGGCTGTTTCTGTAAAGCCCTTTCTCCATGCTCTTGAAGGATCCCACTGAAGCATTCGTCCCAGATGTCACTGCCTGCACCATCTGCTTCCTCTTGAGCCATTGAACACACATCTTTAGATTAAGCTGCAGGTTCCACAATGGAACTTGAAGGGAAAGTCATTGTCCTGACTGCTGCTGCTTAGGGGATCGGCTGTGCTTCTGCCTCATTAAGTGTCAATCTTCTGTTGTTTACTCACATTTAAAGTACTGCAATATGTGCACACACAGCAGGGGAATTTAAGTATTATTTACCGTGTTCCTTCCCTTTTCTTCTTTCCTTGCGTTTGTTTTCTCCCTTTTTCTTTTTCTTTTCTTTTTTTCCTTTTTGCTGCTTATCACTAAGCCTAGAGCCCCAAAAATGATAAGCACGCACTCGTACCACAGAGCTGCAGTCCCAGCCCTTCATCTTGCTGGCCCACATGTCTTAAAGTCGAAAGAAATGGCCCTCTTCCTGGCACAGAGGAAGGAGGGAACCCCTTGGTGCTTGTTTAGTGGCATCGCCGATCACTGTTGAGTCTGACAATCATACTTCTTTGCCTCAGTTTATCTGCACCCTCATGAACTGACTTCAGGGCCCTAGGGGGGTGTGCAGCTCTCTGAAATGATGTCAGTTCAGAATTAGGACTCCATTATAAAACTATCAGGCCACCTTGCTGATATGCCTCATTGTGCCCCACCTGAGCTAATAATGCACTGAAAAAGAAGGCTGGGTGTGGCCTGGCACGTGTGAAAGTCCTACTGAAGTCCTGGGAGGGAAGGTCCCATTTTCCTCTTACTATTGCTTAATCATTCTCAGAAACACACATGGGGGCGTAGAGCTGCTCAGAGGGTAGGCACTTGCCATGCAAGCCTAGAGACCTGAGTTTGATCCCTGGAAGGAGGGAGGACCACAGAGTTCTGCTCTGATCTCCACAGGCACGCCAGGCCATATGGGTGTCCACACACATACAAACACACACATACAGCATATATAAATAAATGTAAAAATGTCTGTAAAAGAAATGTCACATCATAGAGTAGCAACAGTGTCTTAGAAACAGAATTAGTTTTTAAAATACTACATTGTTTGATAATAAAAGGACAAAGTCAGATGATACGTATATATCGTGCTGGTCTAGTTACTGACAACAAATAAAAATAATCACAATGGGAACCAACAGGAGACTAGATAGATGGAAATTCTACCTATTTCATAGGAGAAACAATAATACTATGAAAGGAAAAAGACCCAGTGATCTCTGCTCCTGAGAGCAGTTTAATCCTGTAAACAAAGCATTGATTTGTACTTTGTTTCTGGCAGGCTTTTGCAAAAGAAGGTGCCAGAGTCGTAGCCACAGATATCAATGAGTCCAAACTTCAGGAACTGGAAAAGTACCCAGGTGAGCAATGTCACTGTGGGGTTGGGAGTCAGAGGGTGCCATAAAACAATGACACTGGCGTGCGGGCCTCGCCGTGAGAGTCTAGCTCCGATCTATCTAATCTATGTTCTGTGCCCTACAGACAGGAATCTGGGTACTTAAATATGTGAGAGAAACCTGAAGGTGTATACTAAAATTTATATTACACACGTTGGGGGATTTCGTTCCCAAAGTTCTGTGTGAAAATTACCTGCTGTCATGGCAGCCAGTAATGACAGTATTTCACTCCTGCTCCTGCTCCTCCTCTAGGGTAGCATTGTCCAAAGAAACATGATGCGATATTATTCTTCTGTTCTTGCAAGTTTTCTTGTAGCTCCATTAAAAGGAAAAAATTGTAAATTAACATTAATAATATTTATCCAAATATATAAAAATTAACAGAAATTTTGCCTTTTTTGAAAGCAATAAATTTTTTTAAAATTATTTCTTTAATATCCACATACTTAGAAGAAGCATTTCATTACAGCAACATTGACATATTCAACAACAATTTCCTGAGCTTAGATGCATCTCTTTCAAAATTGGCTGTAAATTTTTAGCTTTACAGAATTATTACGGTTATACAATATTGTACTCAGTATAAACCCTATAAGACAAAATTAAATGAGGTTTTAACCTTTAAAAAAAGATCTCCATTTCATTATTAAAATACACAGTTTCATACAGAAAAATATATTTTTAATGCAATTGACGTTAAGATGTTTGCACGTGCATTTCTAATCTCTATATATCAGATTATTACTAGTCACAGTCAGTTACTTTCTGAGCTCCTTGGCATCTGAACATGGATATAAAGTCATCAAGTAGATTTCAATGATAATGCTTTTCACATCTACTAATTATTAAGGAGCAATTTTTTTGTTTTGAAGAATTATTATTTTTTAATCATATATTTTCGGGACACTGGTTCAAGTCCCTCTGGTGGGGTCTCCTCGGCCTCCTTGATCAAGAGGACAGGTGACCCACCACCATTACAGGACATTTTGAGAAATGCTGATGGTCCCCTGGAACTAGCTGACCTAGGAGGGCAAGGATCAAAAACTGTCCTTTATGTCCCTCTGACCAAATTATTATAGACCTCAAAGTATGTCTGTTAAACATCCAAGAAGGTTAGTTCCACCGGTCTGGTACTTTTAATTACTGTGTGTCATGTAGATAAATCTTGGGCAAAGACCAATTGTTCTTAGATAAACCTTGCCTAGACATATATTTCTTGATCTGCTATGTATAATTTGTCAGTAGGTTGTAGGAGTAATATGGTTCTCTCTGGTTTTTAAAACTAGCTAGGCATTGTTTATCTCTCGCATTGTCTCACCCCTCCATCATGGTTTCCCACTCAAGGTGCCCCCATTTTCCCCCTTTCTCCCTTACTAATACCCTTCTCCTATGGTCCTACCTCTCTTGAGCTCCTTCTTTTCCTTTATCCCCCAGGTTCCTTGTATAGCCTTCCTTCCCCCCTCCCTTAAACTAACCCAATTTTTATCCATATCTCCCTTATTAAGGTCTGTTTCCTACTGTTCTTCTCTTTCAGGTTCTTTCTTTTCCTTTACCTCCATTATCCTAGTTCCTATATATCTGGATACATCCTCACTTATCAGGATTGGGTTCTAGGATCCACATAAGAGGGAGAACACATGTCAATTTTTTTCTGAGTCTGTGTTACTTCACTTAGTATAACAGTTTCTAGTTCCATCCATTTACCTGCAAATTTCATGATTTCATCTTTCTTTACTGCTGAGTAAAACTCCATCATATAAATGAACCACATTTTCATTATCCACTCATCAATTGAGGGACACTAAGGATGCTTCCATCTCTTAGCTGTTATGAAAAGAGCAGCAACAAACACGGATATACAAGTGTCTCTGAATAGGATGAGTTCTTTGGGTATATGCCAAGGAGTGGTATAACTGGGTCAAATGGTAGGTTCATTTGTAGTTTTTTAATTCTCCACACTGCTTTCCATAGGGGTTGAACAACTTTGCAGCCCCACCAACAGTGGATGAGTGTTCCCCTTTCCCCACATCCTCTCCAACATTTGGTATCATTTGTTCTCTTGATCTTCAATTTCACTATATAGAGCTGAGTATTTACTGTCACATCCAGTTTGTCCTCCAACTTGCAATCCTCATGCCTCAGCCTCCTGAGTGTTGAGGTGTTACAGGCTAGCTTGTCACAACTGTTTCCATCTTGGATTGATGCTTACTTCACTAAGCTGCAATTGATAACAAAAAAGTATAGGTATTAAAGGTGTGTAGCTTAAAGGGGATTGGTTCTGTAGTTATAGTTTTGAGACAAGGTCTCCCTATATAGTCCAAACTGGCCTATAATTCTCAACCCTTCTGCCTGAGCACTCAGGTGCCGATATTGTAGTCATCACATCCAGCACTGACAACGTGCTTTTGTTTTTCTTTGAGGCATAAGTAATCAAGCCCTACTTCCCCCTGCATGTTAGAATGCACTCTACCACAGAACAGCACCCCAGCTCCAACATAACATCTTCAAGTTGTCAATGATTATCACAGAAGAGTTCATTCGTCACCTCATGGAGTTACCCACCCCAATCTGTGCTCTCTCTGGATGCTGAGTTTTCTTAAATTCTACTCTCTCAGGATATTCAACCATACAGCACTGGTTATTAACTTTTGTACCTTAGGTCTTCAGAACTTACTCCCTAACAGCAAGATTGTGCCCTCTGACCAACAGCTCAAAAATTGCACAAGGAATCTGAGATCTATGTGTATGTTAAACACATTTCAGTTCACACTAGTGGTATGTCAAGTGCTCCAAGCCACATGGGACTCAGCTACCACACTGAAAACAGCTCAGTCCTCATGTCACATAACATGATGGGAGACCGACCCCACAAGCTTATCCAGGTTGTTTAGGTACACACTGAACTTTCTATCACACATAGAGCCCAACTGCAGCACCAGAGCACTTCTAGCACAGAAGGCCTGAAAAAAAAATTAGGACAGAAAACCACCAGGAACTTAATGGTGTCAGCAAAACAGTGGCGGCTGCATACAATCATTAGTTCTTGAGTTGGCCAACAGCATTAGAATGTGTTGGGTGATAATTTAACAAAGAAAGGGTTTGTGCAGGGAAAGAAGCTGCCCCCTCCCCAAAGAAGTCAGTCTCCTTGTCTTTGTTCATTAATCTAGTCTCTCAGTATCCAAAATAATCATTGAATAAACCATATGTATTTTAAAAGATATAAATACTGGTTTTGTTAGAAAACATTTGGAGTTTTCTTGGTAACTATTCCAATATGCTTCGGAGACCCTAGGCAGATCCCTTATATCCCTTGACTAACAGAGTCATTTTTTGAACTTTTTTGATTTGTTTATTTTTTACTGTTACAGGTAGCAGAAATAGTATCTTTTACTTTATTCCTCAGGTGTTCAAACTCTTGTCTTTGATGTCAAACAAAGAAAAACCAAATTGATCTGTTCACCACAGAAGTTGAAAGAGTCGATGTTTTCTTTAATGTTGCCATGTAATTTTAAACTTTTTATTTCACCTTGACAAAGTTTCCCTAGAATTTATTAAATGAATGCCAATAACATGGAAAAATGATTAATTGATTGATTGAGTGAGTGAGTAATAAAATATGACATATTAATATTTCTTGGGAAATCTAGCTAGATTTCAGACAACAGTTTTTAAGATTTATTTTTATTTACATGTATGAATGTTTTACCTATATGTATACAAGTGCACCATGTGCATGCAATGCCCACTGAAGACAGAGAGGGTGTCAGATCCCCTGGAACTGGAGGTTTGGATAGTTGTGAGTCACCATGTGGGTGCTGGGCACCAAACCCAGGTCCTCTGAAAGAGCAGCCAGTGCTCTTAACTGCTGAACCATCTCTTCAGCTCCTCAGACAGCATTTTCATTATGTGTAAGAAACATCTAGTGAGATAGCCATGGTGCTGGACATGAACTTGGCCTTAAGGCAGTTAAAGCTATGGAAAACAATGGGTACTGAGGCAGAGTTTCGTCATAGGTTATGGAGTCTAAAGATTTAATTGAACATCTGTTCAATTTCCAACAGCTCAGGGAATCTAGAAGGAGAGTATGAGAGTTGCTGCAGGTCCAATAGTGTGCCAGAACCACCACCAAACCTATTTAGTAATTAATTATGTAATCTGGGTTTAGAGGACCAAGTTAATAAGGGTACTGGTGTCTAGGAAACTTCCTTGAGGAAGTGTGGCTTGAAAGGGAAAAGGTTATTTTAAGGGCCTTATGGCAAGAATCCTTTGCTGCACTGAGATGTTGAGACACTTGTTATTGCAATCCTTGCAGTTCTGACTTTCCTGCAGAATGCTAAATTGAGGGCACTCGCTCTTGAAATAAGAGCCATTTCTAATGTGTTTTGTTTTGTTTTGTTTTGTTTTGTTTGTCTTTTTGAGACAGGGCCTTAAAAGTTCCAGCTGTCCTGGAGCTCACCAGGCTGGCCTCAAACTCACAGAGATCCGCTTGCCTCTGCCTCCTGAGTACTGGGATTAAAGGTATGCGCTACCTAAGGTGCTGATGTTTCCAAGTGCATTTGATATAGAGCTTCTTATCCTTGGCAATCCCAGACTCTTGCCATCTTTTTTTTTTTTTAATGTATATGAGTGTATTGAATGCATATATGTAAGTGCACCCATGTCGTGCAATACCTTTGGAGGTCAGAAGAGGGTGCTGGATTCCCCTGGAACTGGAATTACGGATGGTTGTTAGCCAACATGTGGGTGCTGGGAATCAATCCCAGGTACTCTGCAAGAGCAGCCAGTGCTCTTAACTACTGAGCCATCTCTCCAGCCCCTCTTGCTATCTTTTAACAGAAGAATGATTTTCTATAGCAAATGTTCTAGCATAAGTTGTTGACATTCTTGCTAACACGGTGTGCTAAACGATACTATGTTTGAATTCTTTAAATTCTTGATAAGGGAAAGAGACAATGGTCTAAGTCATTGAGTGATGATAAAAGTTATTATCAAAAAGTTTTTAAGCACAGGTGTGTGTGTGTGTTGTGTGTACCTGTCTGTGTGTGTGCATGTGTTGTGTTGTGTTGTTTGTTCTTACAGAGCTGGAGCTCAAACCCAGGGCTTCAAACACACTAGTGAGTGCTTACCCAGGCCTTTCAATGTGTTCCCCCCCACCACCCTGTTTAATCTGAGTTTTGTGTACCATGGTCCTGGATTGCGAGAAAAAGGACTGGGACTTCTCAGTGATTCTCAACGTCCGCAGCATGTACCTGATGATCAAGGCATTCCTTCCCAAAGTATGAGGCTGCCAGGTCTCACACTGGGCACTCAGTAAGGCTATGCTGTGCTTGAGTGTGATGGCTGCTAACAGGGGACTAATGTGCATTGAGCATTTATGTCCAGGCATTTCATATTAATTAATTCATTTATTTATCAAGCACTTTTTACATTCTAGGCTGAGGAGGCCTCCAGTGAATTTAACAGAATTCTTTCTTTAAGGGAGTTCCTGTTATGGAGGGGTGTGGCAGGTTAGCAAATGTCCAATTGACATATATAATATGTGGGATAGTTATGTGTCCCATAAAAGCAAAGAAGTTAGGATGCCAGTGAGGCCATCGTAGACATGGCAGACAAGGTGAGATTCTCAGGGAGGTCAAATGGAGGGAGGGAGTGAACCATTTAGGAATACGAGGCCTCCAGGCAAAGAAACCAACAAGAAGGCATGCAGCAGGGAGCAGTTCCATGATGTAGGTGCTGTTTTATCTTAGCTATTGACCATGCAGAGGACAAACCTGAAGATAATTTGCCCAGGGTCACACAACTCACTATTGATCAGAGCCAGCATATGAAGCTGTAGTTCACCCTTCCTGAATCTAATTCAGTAAACACTGTCAAGATGCATGTGCCCCAGTGCCCTTCTCTACCCTGAAGAGTCTTCTCCTGTTTCTTATCCTGTTTGCTTGTTGTTTTTCTTCTAATTTATTTTTTGAATTTTCATGGTATATGTACATTGTACATGGTACTGTACATAAGGACATTTTCATATAGGTGGATATTCTATGTTGAGCATGTTGCCTATCCTACAGCACTCTGAGAACCAGGTTGGGCAATGTGGCCACACTGTAGGGGGCGGGGGCTGCCCCTCACACTCACACACTACGATGCCACCACCCCAGCTCCCATCATGACTGAAGGCCCCAGGAGAGGAAGACAGCCTCTGATGAGTTTTGTTTTCAAAATGGTACAATAATTGACTAATTCCCTCAGGTCCCCCCGAGAGGATTGAGGCTAGATGCCTTGTGAGAAGTCTTCAAGTGTACTACCCCAACAGTTTTATAATATTGTATATAAATATGATGGATATTGTATTGCTATAAGGGAGATGGGGTGGACATTGTTGCTCTGCCTGCTTTGTTTTTTATAAGACTTGGTGTTTTTTAATTTTAAAAATGTTTTGAACATTAAAAAAAGTAAAGAAAAAAGAATATTGCTGAAAGCAATGAACTACCCCAATTGGGTCGCAAATAGATGGAATTAGATTGATAACATCTGTTCGTGATTATATGCTCTAGTCTGGGTCATAGGAGGTTAGAAAGGGAAAAGTCTTCTCTGATAAGACAAGGCTCCTCTTTTCCTTCCATGTTTCATGCTGGATGTACTGTTTCAATAAAGAGAGAGCAAGGTGTTTGTTCAAGAGCTCAGTTCTGGGAGAAATCTGAAGGACAAGTTCTTAGAACAGATTAAGCCCGTCTTGGTTTTAATGGGGGCTAAGAGTCAGGATTTTTTTGTTTAGGTATTACCATAATGTGGCATCACACAACTGCAGAGTTTTGATGGGGATTGCACTGAATCTATATATTGCTTTTGGTAGTATAGATATTTTTACAATGTGAATTTTTCTAATTCATGAACATGGGAGGTCTTTCCATCTTCTAGTATCTTCTTCAATTTGCTTCTTGATTATTTTAAAAAAAGTTTTCATTAGTTTTGTTTAGTCTAAGGAATTTTTTCTGGAGTCAATTATCAATGGGATTGTTTCTCTAATTTCTTCCTCAGCATGCTTGTTATTAGTAATATGAAGGCTACTTGATTTGCTATGTTAATTTTGTACCCTGCCTCATTGCTGAAAGTGTTCATCAGGTCTATGAGTTTTATGGTAGAATCTTTTATGCATAGAATCATATCACCTAGAAATGAGTATAACTGGACTTCTTTAGATCCTGTTTATATCCTTTTTATTTACTTCTTTTATTGTTCTAGCTTAGAATTTGCACACTATATTGAATGAAAGGAGATACTGGATACCCTTATCTTATTCTTCTTTTTAGAAGAAGTAACACTAATGCATCAAATTTTTTCATAAAATAGAAAAGGAAGGAATGCTCTAACTTTTCATGAAGGCAGTATACCCTGATACCAAAGCCAGATAAAGACACACACAAAAAAAGGAAAATCATAAACCAATCTTTCTAATGAACATAGATGCAAAATTCTCAACAAAGTATTTGCAAACCAAATTCAAAACCACATCAAAAAGTCACAATGATCAAGTTGGCTTTACTCCAGAGATGCAGGGATGGTTCAACATATACAAATCAATAAACGTGTCATATCACATAAATGGACACAAGGACAGAAATTACATGATCATCTCAATAGATTCAGAAAAAAACAAAAAAACTTTTGACAAAATCCAGCATCCCTTCATGGTGAAAATTCCAAAGGCACTGGAAACAGAAGGGACATATCTCAGCATAATAAAGGCAGAATGCAAAAAATTTAGAGCCAACATCACACTAAATGGGAAAATTCAAAGCATTCCCACTGAAATCAAGATTTTTTTAATCACTCAGAACCCATGTAAAGATGGAAGGATAAAATTAACTCCATAAAATTGTTCTCTGACCTCCATATGCAGGCTATGGATGCAAGTGTCATGTCTCCCCCTCCCCCCATGCAGTCTCTCTCTCTCTCTCTCTCTCTCTCTCTCTCTCTCACACACACACACACCACATACACATGCACACACCATGCCTGCACATGCACACAAGAAATACAATCTGATAACTTAAAAATAACCCAGGATAGGTAAAGAATTAAAGAGCATCCATACCCAGATGGAAGGAACTCCTTTGTCATTATAATCTCACTACCTACCATATTACTCCTCTTAAGTATAACACTAGTGACTGTGATTGGAATAAAGTTAAAGCCTCTATGTTTAGGGAGCATAGAGACAACATAATGCAACTTTAAATATCCTTACTATACAAATATATATGATATATAAAAATATATGCTAAATAAATGTGTTAACTATTATACCTATACATATATGTACATATATAACAACTAAACTGTATGTGACTAGACACTTCTAGTGACCAAACCATTGAAAGTATAATGACTAGAATTTGGGCTTTTAGTTCTGGAAAATAGTTTTTTAAAAAAATCAAGACATTATCTTTATTGTTTTTCTCATTGTGGTTGTTAACTATACCTTTTTCTTTTCTGTGCAGTCTGCAGAATCAGACTAACCAATAAAAGAAGAAGACACTTCAGCCAAAAATTACCATTACTACCTTCTTACAACAAATGAATTAAAGGCGGAGGTGTTAGAGATCACTGCCGTTTGAACTCTGCCAACAACATGCTTGGCATACGTGCAAAGTTGCCTCCACAAGCATGTCTATGATGAAAGCCAAACAGGCAAGTAGCAGGTTCTGGAGTGCAGTGTCCCTTATGTTTAGATTAGATTTTTAAAACTACACCTTATTGGGGCTGGAGAGATGGCATAGTGGTTAAGAACACTGGCTGTTCTTGCATAAGACCTGGGTTCAAATCCCAGCACCCACATGGCAGCTAACAACTGTCCATAACTCCATTTCCAGGGGATCTGACAGTCTCTTCTGCCCTCTGCAGGCACTGCATGACACAGGTGCACTTACCTACATGCAGGCAATACATGCATAATTTATATTTGGGTTAGAATTTAAAAACCATGCCTTATCTACACGGTTGTGTGAACTTTTGCTGTATACCTTGCAAACAGGCCACATTTTGTTGCTGTTTTCTGAGCCTTGCAAGAAATGTCCTTTGATCTGCCTACTTTTGTTCCTGAATAGAAACTTGCTTAGAGTATCTTCTCCATTACAGTGTGGTTCTTTTTTTTTTTTTTTTTTTTTTTTTTTTTTGACAGGGTCTCCCTTGGCCTGGAATTTGCTGTGTAGGCCAGGCTGGCCTCAGTCTCACATATATCTGCCTGCCTCTGCCTCTGCCTCAGCCTCCTGAGTGCTGGGATTAAAGGTGTGTGCCACCCCACCAGACAATAGACTCACAGTGATTCTTTGTTGACACTAGGCTGGAACTCTGGATGAATTCCCAGGCATTCTCAGTGACATAGAGACACATTGTATTTACTTGATGATTTACAGATTTTAAGTATTTTATATGAATTATCTCAGCTAATTCCCACAAGAGAGCTGAGACTCAGAAAACAGGAGGTAGGAAGGTAGGAACATCACCAGTTTGCTTCAGTGATTTCAAACCATTCTGTCTGCTGTCAAGTTTGCCATGTAGATTGCTAGAGGTCAGCTCCACAGCTGACATAGACTTAGCTTATTCACATGCTTTCATTGGTTATAAATTCCCATTTTTAACTACTGTTTTTAGGCTCCTAATAAAAATATAATTTAATTGTATTTCTTTTTTATTAATTAATTGTATGTGTACGAGTGTTTTACCTGTATGTATGTAAGTACAACCATACCATGCAATGTATTACTTCTTTAAAAAAGGAAACCGGGGGGGTGTGGGAGCTGGAGAGACAGCTCAGCAGTTAAGAACACGGAATGTTCTTGCAGAAGACCCAGGTTCAAATCCCAGCACTCACATAGCAGCTAACAACTGTCTGTAACTCTAGTTCCAGGGGATCTGAAAGCCTCTTCTAACCTCCACAGGCATTGCACAACATGGGTGCACTTCCATACACACAGACAATACACACATACACATTAAATAAAAATAACAAATAAAATATTTTTTTTTAAAAAGGAAACCAGGGGATCAGTGGTTAAGAGCTCTGGTTGCTCTTACAGAGGACTCGGGTTTGGTTCCCAGCACCCACATGGTGACTAACAACCATCGGTAACTCCAGTTCCAGGGAATCTGATGCTCTCTTCTGACCTCCACAGACATTGAACAACATAGCTTTGCTTACATACATGCAAGCAATACACTCATGCACATAAAATAAAAATATTAAATAAAATATTAAAAAAGAAAAGGACTAAAAATTAAATCTCAGGCCCCAAGCCTCCACAGTTCTTTAGATTTTTTTCCCTTAACTTATATAATCTATAGATTCTCCATAAAGCACCATTTTTTTTCAGAATGACAGTTCTCTGGGAACCACTTATTCTTTCCATGATGTAACAATTTCAATGCCATTCCCTCAGATTTATCTTTAGACCACACTCCTGAAAAGGCCACAGATTTGATCTCTGCTCTGAAACCGTTTCTCATTTTGGCATCACTTGCCACTTTCCTGAAGAGGCTGAGAGTCTTTGGGATCAGAGACTCCTGTGTGTCTCCTCCCTTAGGCTCTCTTGTCACATTTGACTGTACACAGACAGCACTTTCACTTCAGCCAGATCGCTCACTCCATTGGGAACACTTTGAACCTTCATAGTGCTGCAGGAAGAGAGGCCCCATTGACCCAGTTTACAATGTTTTCCTCACTTCCTTTGTCCTCAAAGTCCAAACTTTTACCAACCGATATTCACCATAAGCTATCTGTACGGTCACAAAACCTTACAGCTGTAAGCGCTGCCTCTCATTGAGGAGAGTGAGCATCATACTTTACAGGTGGCTAGTGCTAACTATGAAACACAACCATGTCCTCAGATGAACTGCACTGGCTTCTGCTGTTCCATGTCTACACAGGTGTTGAGTAGATATGTCCTCCGAGGGTATTAGAACTGAACCTCAAGAGACTCAGAGGGGGAGGTCTAAGGACAGACACTGGAGACACTGGGAAACACTGCGCACACTGGGAAAAAAGGGAGGAGAGTCACCATTTTGGAACAGAGTGCTGGACTGATGGTGGATCTCAAATATGGAAGAGAAAGGGCACATGAGAGTTCATGTCTTTGTAAGTGACCCTCTCCCAGAAAGCATAAACTTTGTTGGCAAACCCAAATAAATATTCTTATTCCCCAAACTGTAACTTAAGAGGGACCTTGTGGTGGTCAAGGTGAGTTAGGACCACGTGACCCTGGGATTCCAGAAAGCAGTGGGTCTCGCAAAGGAAAATTCAGTGGGCCCACAGGTCTGGTTGCACACGGTGACTCACACGCATCAGCACCATCACTATATCTCCTTACTTTTCCTCTGGGATGGGCTCCGTGAGTCACAGTTCCTTGTTCCAGAGAGTTAGATAATAGATTTTCAAATCAAAAGAAATATCCAGCTGTAGAGGCAACCACACTTTCAAAGTCACTGGCCATTCATTCCTAAAGGCCAACGCCACCAATATCAGCCACACTGGTGTGAGCAGTAAAACTCCCGTTTCCAGTGTTATCTATGGCTACCATTCCACTCCAATAAAACACGCACACCATCTCAGTCACTGCAATTCAGGCTTGAGTTTGTAGCAGTTCCTGCTGTGTCAGTGGGTTCCAAACTGAGACTCTGGCAGAGTCTCCTGTGGAGCTTCCCAGATGACACATAGCTCTCCCCAGCGGTCCATTTCCCAAATTCTGGCATGTGCATCAGGTAAACCACCCCAACACTGGCTGCAGACTATTGAAAACTTTAATCCTGGACATAGAACACTTCTCTTCAGAGGACATTAATCACCCTTGTTAGGTACCCTGCACTCATTCTGGGTTGGGGGAGCTAGGCAGAAGGGTACCCACAGTTACCTAGAATCTGAGGTATACCCACAGTTATTAAGAAAAGCAGTTTTGCTGCACTTCGCTCCTTTACTGGTGGGGTCATCACACTTCTTTTATAAAGACAGAAAATATTTTTGGTTTTGAGACGCTATTGCAACCTCTCAGATCTGCTTTTGTAGCAGAAAACCATTCACAGCCAATGCACAAGGCAATCTCAGGTAAGAGTGTCTTATAGTAAGCTTTACTTATACAACAGGGAATAGCATCCTTTCTGTTTGTGAGCCACCTGTGTCTTTTGTGACTCTGGTAAACCCCTGTGTTCTGAGAGGGTCCTCTGACTTTATGCCTGCTGTCCCATCTCTCCATTGACTTCATCACCATCATCTTTTTCTGAAACACCAGGCTCTGGCAAGTGTTGTGTCTTAGGTACTTGATTTTAAACTGTCCCACACGAGTAGATTTTAAATCCTTCACATTGAGGCTTGTTCCAAATAGCTTAAAACCTCATTCCCACTTAAAGCTGGGCTATTCTCTTAGCAAGTCCAGACATTTTTGTTTGAATTTCTCCCAAGGGCAGAATATAATTTGACATGTAATCAATAAGCTGATGAAGATATTGTTCACAGAGGTAAATGGGGTGTCAGAAAGGCCCCATGTTCACAGCCCTATCACAACTGATGCCTTGCTGGATGAAGTCTGCAGCCACAGACTTTGCAAGGCTGGCTACAGCTGCCTGCCTTGGATACACTGCACAGAGGTAGGTAATCACTCTTTCTGGGGAGTACAGGTCAAGATGAACAACAGATGTAATTAGACATTGTTTCTTTTTGAATGGAACACAAGTGAGTTTCCTGCTTGTGATTTGCACACTTCTTTCCATCCTCCTCTCCCTTTACAAACTATTGGTATCAATCAGGTCTTCTCCTGTAATAGGGGCAGTTTCTGAATTCAGAAAAATGATACCAATATAGGCAGAACTTAATTTAGACTTTAGGAGTGGAGACACTTCACTCAATAGCAGTTGTTTGCTTTTCACCATCAGATGGGACAACTGCTCGGAAAATCTCATTCCCCTTCAGAATCTGCATAAGCACACTATGCTTTTTACAGTCCTCTCCTAAGCATGTCACATGTTAGTGGAGAAAGAATGCTGTCTCAGCAGTGATTTTAAAACCCTAAATCCAGCAGTGCCAGGCTGTGACAGTCTCTCAATTTGGTGCTGCCGTCTGAGATTTTCAACTTAATTTCTCATTCCGGGCCCAGCTCGCTTGTCTTTGCAGTGCACCTCAAACTCAGAAGTAGAGTGACCTCTCGCGTCATTAGTTTTTTGTAGTAATGTCTATTAACAGCATTATCACACTCTAGAAGACAGAATTTGAAGTCAGATCTTGTGATGCACACTTGTAACCCCAGTATCTGGAAGGTGAAGACAAGAGAGTCAGGAGTTAAGGCCACTTCAAACACACAATGAGTTTGAGGCCAGTGTGAACTACACGAGACCCTTCTCCAAAAAGCTAGAGAAGGGACTGGAGAGATGGCTCAGTGGTTAAGAACACTTGCTGTTCTTCCAGAGGATGTGGGTTCAATTCCCAGCACCCACATGGCAGCTAACAATCATTTGTAACTCCAGTGGCAGGGGATCTAATACCCTCTTCTGGCCTCTGTGGGCATTGCATACATGTGGTGCACTTACTTACATGCAGGTGAAACACTCCTATACATCAAATAAAAATAAAATATTTTTTTAAAGAGCCAAAGAAGACAGAATTTGCCCACCCATCTCCCATTATGGCCTGTGAATTCTTTTTTTGCTGATTCATAAGGGTATACAGTTCTCACTCAATACATCATGTTGGATTAATTCTGT